CATCGCTAATGAGGAGTAACAAAATTCCTTCAGCTCAATAAAAAACAACCAGCAGACTATGGGTGAATTAGTCCATGAAGGACTGTCTGCAGTACACTGCTTTATTTACATTAACAAACAGAAATATATATCCCTTTTCTTGACATTGTTCACAAGCACACAAGAAATTTAGAACTGTTATATTGAAATTATGGCATTAGATCTTACTAACAAAATTCTATGGTGAGGAAAGAGCTTTTCAGCTGAAAAAAAAAAAAAAAGTCACCAGGTCTGTAACACTAGAAGGCTCTGCAGTACAGCTTACTCACTTTGTAATTCACAGGATGACTTGCAACTGCAGAAAATTTACTTTAGCAAGAGGAACATCTGCCTTCTTGTGTTATAGGTTATCTTTTTGAGAGAAAAGATTCACAAAATAATCCAACTGAAGCAGCAAAAGATTGTGCTGCACAATGATCAAAAAAGTATTTCTTCTTCCTCTGTTATCCATCCTTCAAAATTTTTGAAAGCATTCTGAAAAAAATAGACTAAAACAGGTATATTTTTAAGCTGTATTTTTAATAGTTACAGAAAGATGATCTGCACAGCTCTACTCATGTAGAGAGAAAAATCTCTATGAAGACTCCAACCTTAGTGATTTCTTGTTTCCAGTACAGATATTGTGGGCATATCATAATAGTGATTGTGCTGGTTAAGCAAAGATCTGCTTTGAGAAGCTCTGAAAAGGTGCGTCGAATTTCACTGAAGTCAGTGACATTTTAACTAAGCACCCCACTAAATCAACATTCACTGAACAGAAGAACACATTTTTTTCCTTAAGCAACATACTTTTGACTGCACTTTCATCCCACCTTCAGCTACTTCATAGCCAGCTGAGGTTGCTTTGACTTCTAATATAAATATGGCTGTTCTATGCAAAACAGTTGCTCCAAATGAAGCTAAATTGCTTCCCAAAGCCTAGCTATCCTCCACCACGGAGGGGGAAGGAGCCACTTGGAAGGGTTTTTGGTCAAATCAGATTGGACTTCTGCTGTTATAATCWGCAATTAATATATGAGCTTTTTTCATTTGATGTTATCATGGGAGACTATTTGCTGCCTGATTACTTGCTCAAAATTTAGTTATACTTCATGCGGAGCATGKTCTACTTTTACTCAGCCAAAGCTACAGTACTGCAGTACCACTGGGGAAAAAAATCACGTCTGAACCTTTACAGAGTATACATCTCCAGAACTCTTGGTTTCAAGAATTTAGAGGTTCTTGTGTCTTGCCTGAACACTCTTGCATCACAACAATTCTCTCACACCTTTTGTTCCCATAGTTGAAAAACAACAACAAAAAAAAGGACAAAACATGGGATAAGATTTTCCTCCTTCTGATTTCAAGACAAAAACACTATACAGAAAGTGACTGAAACACTAGCTGTTATCAAGCTCAGGATCTCAAGGATTAGGACTGATGTCTTAGCTCAGTATTTTTCCCAATTCTACTCAGAGATAATGCTGCCTACTGGTTAATATGCTGGTCTATTAGCACAGTTATTGAGATAGGTTAATAGAGAGTTTGTCTTCATTAGTTTTAACTGAATATACTGTAAGCTATTCAGTTTTTGACTAAATCATGATGTATGTTTAAACCAGAATTTTGGAGGAAGCCCCTACTAGTTGCATCTTCTGGGTAAACTCACTACTTGGAGAACCACAGTAAAACTATTCCGTTAACTATAATGTCATAATTAAATAATGTACTTAGTATACATAAAGTACACTAATATAAGTACTTGATTATTCAAACTAGAAATGTTAAGTAGTATTTTCAAGAACACAATAGGATATGTTGTTGACAGATGCACCACAGCATCGCTGGGATATGAAGGAGGTCGACTGAGTATCTTAGGCTATGCACTGAGAGTAAAATAACCAGTAGGGGTTTTTTTTTGCTTTTTAATCCAAAAACAACACAAATATATAAGGACAGACAACATAGCAAAGTGATTTTTACTTTTTTTATATATTGATACTGCTACCAATCAACCTGGACACTTTGCTGGGCATTACAAATAAAATACCAGTCAACTGTACTTCAAACATATTTCTGTTTAGGTTGAATGAGCTATGATTTACTGAGCTTGAAAGGGAAAGTAATTTTTATATCAGTTCCATGAAACAGTTGTTTATTTTATTCAGAATCCTAAGAAAGGGCTATGTAAGAACAGCACAGAAGAATACACTAAAATAAATGACATTTTGTCATACCTAGCTGTATAGGACTAATGTGAATTAAGAACGTTGATATTCTAAACATAAATACTCCRGGTACCTTAATTTTCCATTGAGAAATTGAAAATGGAATCACAGCAGTCTAATTTTTTTTTCATTTGACTTCAAAGACATGCAGAATATTAAACACCTCTATGAGTAAGGCCATTTATAAGGTGATATTCTAGGGCCTGTTCCTGCATAAGGATCAGTGGTCACAAAACCGCTAAAGTAGGGAAAAAAAAGGCTGAATAAACAACTCTGCAATTGGACAGATATTTATATTTGATCTGATATTGCAAGGTGTTTTATTCAAAATATCTACTAAACAGATACAAATRCTACCTAAGGACAATTTTTTTTCCCCTATGCTTAAGCCATTTTCGGAAGTTTTCAAGATAAGACCCAGAATATCTATGAATAAAGAAGAATAAAGCAAACAACAGATACAGGAACAGTTTATGTAGACAGCAAACATGGTGGCATTTCGGACTCCATAGCAAGTTATAGAACTGAATGACTAAATCCTTCCATGAAATCAGAAAATGAAGCATTAAGAAACTTGAACCTAACCTTAATACAATTAAGGTAAACTGTTCTGTGCTTACCAGTGCTCTCGAGTATACAGAGCAGAACTTGAGATGAGAATCTTTGCATGTTCGTACTGCTGTTCCTATATATTCTGGCAAACCTGGAATTAACACTGGATCTTGACAATGAAGACTAGATGATTATTTAAATTTCATTCAGTTATAAAGATAGCTTTCATAACTTAAAGAAAAGCCCTGCYATAACAATCACCGTTGTCATGGTTGAACAAACGCCGCTGAAGTGTTATATAGTTTTATGAGTTTTTATGACTTCAGATTCAGAGGACCAGATATAAGCACAAGAAAAAGCACTAGGAAGGTGTTCAATAGCATTCCTTGGAAGATCTGCAATCTAAAATATGTAAAGGCTTACAGAATATTTATGAACTTTTTACAGTGGCATATTTCATAGCATTAAGTTACGACTATAATACTCAGTGGTATGTTAAATAAATCAGTAATTTGTAACTCTGCATGCAGACCATTTTTGAATTCTTAGAATCTGACTGGTTTTACTTCCTAATACAGCACCTAAAAGGTAGCAGTACTGGCACACAAACTATAAAAGACAGGTGGATCAGGCACAGAAAACAACCAAGGCATATAATGGACCAAAACCAGAAGAGAAAATACCTGTAGYTCAATCCAGTAAGTTATTAGCGAGAATGGGAGATCATATTTACTAAAATTTTTATTATTTAGTTGCTTATGTTAATACCCGCAATACCTTTTCAGACCCTTAGGCAAGATATAAAAGTGCACCCTCAGAAAATTAAGACAAGTTTTAGGAATCAAAAAAAAAAGTCATGTTCTGTATKATTTAATGCAGTCTGCACATCAGAAACAGGTCTCTAAGAGCAGTATCTATGAAAATAGATAAAATTAATTTGTCAGGAATTTTGCCTTTTCTATGCAGTACTTCTTTCTGTCACTCTGAAGGAAGGCATCATAAATTTACTACAGCAAGGCAGTAATAAAAAATTCTAGATTTTTATAAACACAGTATTTTACAGATATTATTTATTACATTATCAGTTCTGCTTCTGCATAACAAAATTGGCAGATGGATTCATGTCATTTTATGACATCAATATGCTGCTATATTCCTGACACAAAGCAGAGCAGTAATCACATTCAAACCATTGCTTTCTGCTACTCCAATTAAGATCCGACACATCAGAGCAAGCTGGGAGAAAATGCAACCTAGGCCAGCCTCTATGAACCMGTGATGGCAAAGCCAAAACCAGCTCAACATTCCCCAAAGTTTGGGACAGTTTCCTGCCCGAATGACTTAACTGCAAGTTTTGTGAATCCCACTGCAATATCTTATTTGAAAAGTGGCAAGTGACAGACAGTGATAGAAAACCATGGTACTCTCCCATTTGACAAAGGGAGCTTCTCCTTCTGAATTTTAATGAACATTTGCTAATTTGTGAGCAGGGACCAGCAAGGGGGAAGAGTTCCTTCAGAGATGGGAGTAATAGAATATAATAGTAATTTTGGCAGTACTGAACTAATAGAAATTTCCTAAGAAAGATGATAAAACATTTAAATTGAAGGAGCAAAGAGGAAAAAGCATTCTGTAAAGTTCAGTGGAAAAGTGACAGCTATGATGGAAATAAGTAAAAAGCACATGGGAGCATTTGCCATCTCCTCTAATTAAAATGCTGCAAGCTAGAGGAAGATAAGAGGTTTCAAACCTCGAGCTTTGTGTAAATGGAACCTGATGGACTGAGAGGAGAAAAATCAACAGTTCCTAATTTTTCCCCTTGTGAATGAGCACATTTCTACAAAAAGGCACAACATCTGTTTGCTTTGGGATAGTTTTATTTTTTCAAAACATTGTGATATTGAAAATTTTCTGRCACATTCCCAGCAGGTAGGATAGAGAGAGATTCTGATAGAGATTCTGGAAAGAATTTTGTTTCAGGAAAACATGACCACTTGTTTCAGAGCTCAAATCAAAGATGGTGACACTTTCCAAACACTTTGCATTTTATAAAAGACACTGTTTGTAATTTAAGAACTAAGACCCCGGTGCATTGTCATGCAGTGCTCCAGAAGTGCAGTTTTCACTGTGCAGTTTAGACAGTCATTGTAGGAAGTGCCCCTCTATACATTGCTTCCCCCTAAAATAAGATAATCCACTCACCACTTGTCCGTTCTGAGGATTTTTATGAGCGTAAGGGGGTCCACGGATGTGATTCCACATTTGACCAGAGGTCATAGCAAACACAACACACTGGAAAATAGAAAACAATACGTTTATTTATCCCGAGGAACTGAGTGGAAACCCAATTTGCTGGTGATGTTGCTGTTAGGTACATTGTTTACCTAACCAAATACATTATCTACCTCTATTAGATGCTTAGAATATACGTGTTTTCAGAAGTGTTGTTCTCATTAAATTCTTAACGACTTCTGTTAGCAAATGAGTTAGCTCAAGACAGAGATTTTCAAAATCTACCTTGAAATGATCATGTCTTTATGTGCCCCTGGAATTGCCACATTTACACATCTATATGGCAAAAAATCATGCATGGCAGTGGAAGGCATTCATTACAAATGTTTTGAAAATTACTCTTCAAAAATTATACAGCCTTTTATGACATTATTTTGGTCTCTAATCTAATACGAATGTATGAATGTTTAGCCTAAATGTTTGCTTTTAGGTGTGTGAAATGTTATAAAAATACATTATGAAAAAAAATCCAATTCTTCTCAAAAAAAAGATGTGTCCTATCTTATGAATTCTTACACGTGCGTCCTCTAAGGCTGTTTCATTTTAGCTATGAAAAAGGACAATGGTGGAGTCTGTAGGAAAGTGAAATTCCCTATGGAAAGCAGAATTACAGGTAGTAACTGGAAATTGCACAACTTGTTGCAGAAGGTCCTGCCATGGAATCTATATGACATARATCATAGTCATAACAACAGTCACTAAAGATGACAATATAGTATCATCTGACTGTCAAATGAGAACAGAAACGGAAAGATCTGACCACTTAACCATGTCTTSTGACATATTAACATAGATAATTCTTACCAAAAAGTTCAGTCCAGTTTCTACAAATACTTATGTATACAATCATTTTTACTGCACAGGAATGGTCTCACCAGCAGATCATACTCAGAGTGATTTAAGCACATTGATCAGGAACCTAAAATTCAAACCTAGGGGGATGGAAAGGAATATATTGGGCTGCCACAATATACATTATGACGCTTTGCTRAACCAGAGTGGACTATTTTGTACTAAGAGCAACTATGTTGAAATGGGGAGGTGAATCTTCTGCTTTCTTTGGCGAATGCTCAATAATACATTTGTGAAGGAAAAGTCAGCTTGTGTGGCTCTGTTGCCCATTAAATGCAATATTGTCATTTCCAGTGATGCACCAGCTCTGCAAGGCCTTACAATTAATTCTTGCTCGGTTTTATGTAAAGTTCTCTTGGCTTACTTGGAGTTTTTTGGTTTATTTAGCTACAACAGCAAATTTCCTAAAGACTAAGCAGTTGTGTTTAGTTTTACTACTTTTTGTTCATCTTTGCATATTGGTTATGTTTTATACAGATAGTAATAGCAGGTAATTATTCTATCTAGGATGAAATATTTATGACCAACAAAATGATGCAGTCTAGAAGAACAGAGGTTTGGGATAATAGCACTCTCAAAAGTGGGAACACAGGGTGCAGTGTAGCAGTACAGGATGAAATGAGAGGTGACAGAGGATGATGAAAAAAGGACATATACAACTTTTGGAAAACGATGACAAAAAGTAGCCCCAAGGGGACCCTACAGTGAGGAGGACGAAGGCATTATATTTCTCCCAGCAAAGAACCTGGGATACTTGATGATTCTCTGTAACACCTCCCCACCCACCCAAGACAATAACGTCTCAGGATCCAGCAGGAAAMAATGCAAGTGTGAGCAGAAGATAAGAGAAAGATACTGGGAGGTGTGTGCAGTTGTATTCCCTTTTTCTCTCTAATAAGCAGATCCAGATTAATAATAATTCTCCARCTGTCCTAGTAAGATTTTAGTTACACTAAGAACAGATTCTTACTTTAAATATAGGCGTGTTTCATTTGCTTGTAACAGGATTTGGAGTATAATAGTATTGTAATTAATATGGGAGATGACAACATATTGGTAGGGATTATTAACAAATGGATTGTGTTTTAATTAATAATAGRCAATGAAGTGAAGAAAGTACACGTTGCCATTACTGGAAAAGGGGAATAGTTATTTTGTTATTTCCAGATTGCAGAAATTTCTTCTATTGCAGATTGCTTTAGCACAAAAAATTATATTGCTATTTTCTCAATGAATCATACAACAGACAGCAGACGCTAACATGAAAGTAACCAACAGAAACTGAAGAATATAAAGGTGAGATGAAAGATCTTTTGAAAGGGCAGAAGTCAGGTAGCTGAAAAATAAAACATCACAAGAGAAACAACAGATGCGTAAGGTTAATAAATCTCRGCTCTCTAAAAGCAAGCTTTCTATGAAAACAGTCGCTTTACTTTTTCCTAAATTGCTCTCCAGGGCCAAATCTGCTTCCACATGGGAAGATAAAATAATTCAGCTTATACATAGTAATATACTCTATAATTGATAATTTTCTCAAATGACTGAGGGTTTTTAATGCTTGCCAGTACAAATACATTGCCTCATAGCATGGCAATGTCTAACAAAAAATAGCCACAAAGCAAATTGCTCTTTAAATGGAGAGAAACTAATTCCCAGTATTAAGGTTATTGAAAGAGTTAACAACAGGGTTATTTACCCTAAATGAATCTTCCAAGTTCTTCCTGTTCAGACTGGCAGCAATCAAGAAAACCAATTCAGTCGACTGCATCTTGGATCAGCCACTATCTCCACCCAAGATGTATCTCTTCCCTATGTTTTTCAAAATGACCTTTTCAAAAAACAAATGTTGTCCAGGTTTTCTCTAGCACTCTTCCATTCTTAACTTTAAATGCTTGTAAAAGATCCTCAGAAGGAGGACATACCTCRCTACTCGTAGATACATACGTGCATACATGACAGGTATGCTGATAGCCAATGTTTTTACCACTCTGAAACATCAAACTCCTTAACTTCCATAAAATACTTTGGGATCTAAAATGACCAAAACACTCACTCCCATACTGATTCACTGTTCCCCTAAAGTCTTCCAAATTCCTTCCTATTAATAAGCAATTTGGAAGAGGTGACCAAGGACTCCACATCTATGTAATGGTTCTATATTGCATGGATTTCAACAGAACAGTCCAAAAGAAGAGAAATAGCACATTTCCAATTTTCTAGAAATCTGACCAAGTTTGGCAGATGAAGAGAAGACTCAATCTGAGACAYTATCCTTGGAGCAGCTCAAAACATTTACAGTTTCACCTGCATGAGAATACACTCAGAGCTCTCTGCTTACCAGTTCTAAAGGAAGATCATTATGCAATGGTCCATCTCCTGACCAGTGACATTCTTTTACACACCTACCTCCTTCCTTCTCCTTGGCAGACTCTCAGGACAGCTTCTTACCTGCTGCAGAAAACTGCAACTATCTACCGAGTTTAGGGTTTAATTCTTTTAAATGCTTCTAATCTTAGGGAGCTTTGTTTTGCATCTAAACTTCAGGATGCATTTAGAACACAGCTCAATTCAAGCATAATTTCAAATACAGGGAGACATAGATAGCCAGCTCCATACTTAATTTTGATACAGTTCTCTCCTTGCATACTGTGGCCATTTTATACACTAGTCATCACTCTTACCTTACTGAAATTTGCTTTTTTTATTTGCTTATTTGCTTACCAATACCGAGTGGCAGGATCTATACTCAGTTTCTAAATAACAATGCAGCGCATCTCAGAATCCCCAGGAAGGGATATTCAATTCAAAGGCAGGAAGCACAAAACACAAGCAAAGAGGCTTTTGTACCTTTAAAGGTACTATGCATGTCTAAAATCTTTAACTACAGGAAGCAAAGGAAATAGATAAAATAAATTTATATGAAATAATCTGCATTTATTGCTGTTCTTTTGAGATGCCTTGGCTGCTATGCAGTGGAGCCCCATTGTTCCCAGTGCTATCACGAGATAAAACACTGCATATTCCCATTCCCCGCAGGGGCAGGGGAGCCACTAGTGCACGTCACCTTTCGAGCTGCTCCAGAGCAAAAGCTGGTGACAGGAGGACTGTGTGAGCACCGTGCAATGCAGCTGGGCAGAACACATTCTCATAAGCAGTAGCTGTTACGACAACTGTAAGCAGCTCGTGCTTTTTCTCCTCTTCCAAACGATATGACATATTTTGTCYAATGCAACTTCCAGGCAGATGCTTTGCATTCCAAGAATAGCATTTGCTTTGCTGAAGTCCTCAAGTACACGGGCAACATTGAAATACACACATAAAATTGAAAATTATATGTACAAAAGCATGGTAACAGCCTTGGAAAGAAATTAYTTCAAAATGCCAAGTAATCCACATTCTAGCCAGCTGAAAAGATATTCTTTCAGCCACAGAACTGCTGTCTAAAATGCAGCAATTCCTTATCTAAAATGGTAGAAATTTACTGAACTTAGACTGTCTGACCTTTTATTCTCTCTGCTTAAGAAATGAAGAGTCTTGACAAGAATCTCAATTGCTTCTTGTTATCAGTATGAAAGGACAGGGCTCTGCAAATATCTAAGGACTGAAGTCTTTCCTCATCTTTGTGCTAACATGTCAGAGGAAAAAAATATCCATAGATGAATAGTAGGATTGAATTAAAGTCTAAAATAATCTAGGGGATAAATTTTGGATGTGATCTCAAAGACACCTTTTAGAATATTATGTACGATGAATCAACCATCACAGTTTGCCATTCTAAGAGTCTTGTGGGTAATGCTGTTGTGATTAAAAATGCCTAAGGCGTACAAGATCCTAACAGAGTAGGCAGCTCTTCAGCAAGGGCATGAAACAGCTACAGGCATCGCTGCTGCTCCGCCTGCCGCCGGGGCCAAACCAATGCCACAGGCCTGGCTGAGCTGCCATTGGAATCAACATTAAGACAAAAGTTCTGGTCTTGATCCTGAGTATTTGTTATCAAAATCAGTAGACAGATCATTAAAACGTCATTGCAAAACTTTCTCTTGAAGAGGTATTATTTGTTTTTGTGACACAACTTTTTTTGTTTTAGTATTGAAAGAAATAAGAAACCAGTAGACATTTCTGAGATCATCTGTACTCCAGCACAGAGGCACTCTTCGCAGAACAGTATTTGCTGCTTTTTAGCAGCAGTTGATTCAATGAAACAGAGACCAGAAAAGCTGACACACTGTCCAGTTGTCATAAAAAAAAAAATCCAGCTTTTTGAAGCATAAAAGCCTTTCTAAATAAGTAAGCAGCCCTGAAACATAGAGGAGAAAGAAAAAAAATAGAAAGAGAGAGAGAGAGAGAGAGAGAGAGAGAGAGAGAGAGAGAGAGAGAGGGAGAGGGAGAGGGATTTGTATGTCTGCAGTGATCTCAAATCCCTAGTCTTCAACTAATAAATTCCAGGAGATCTATAAAAAAGACTCGGTAGAAATTAAAAATGTTATTTTCCATATGGTTAATGAATACAGGCTGAATGAGACCTGAGGGGGGAGCAGAAAGCTTCAACTCCAGTTATATACAGAGAGATAAAACACAATTATGTCTTCAATTCACAGCAAAAGGGTACAAAATGCATGGCTTACTCAAAACGGTGCTGCTAACCAAAACCTCTCAATCTCAGTACATGGAAAGTGGCTAGATAAGCTGTCAAGCATTAAGAGATGATCTCTTATCAGTAGACAATTGTTACATTTTCTTTTGTGTCATTTAGCAGCACCTTTTGAGATAATTTCTGCATCTCTTTTTCTAAAGAGAAGAATAAAGGCTTTTTAGAAAACGTTAGAATGGTGTAGAAATGCAGGTATGAGATCAAAAATACTGCTACAACAGCAACTAAGAGTCCTAGAAATTCTACTCTACTACTTCTATTCCATTTGAATCAAAAATCCCTAAACATCCTAAGTAACAGTAATAACATCAATAAATGWCATTAATGAAGCTCCTTTTAAACTTATTTTTTGTAGTCAATACAATCACAAGGCTGAAAACTTCTGAAAAGCATCAATATGAGCTTTTAATGGTCAATCACATTTGGRGCGCAATCCTGTCCAAAGCTGGACGTGATTGGAAATTTTCTTAACTGCAGTTTACTATTAAATTGATATGTAAAATGTACAACAGTTTCTAGCAGGAACATAAAGTATTATAAAAATAAAAGGTGTAATAACTTTCTCAATATAATTATGAAATTAGTTTTGCCTTCAGTGGCTTTATTTGATGTAGAGTCTAATAGAGTAGTTCTTGATTTGAAGAACTGATTAGAYATCTGCAAGACAAAAATACAACCTCCCTCAAACTTTCAAACTTTAAGCTTCTGATTTGAATCTCTGAGGTACAAAATTAGACTAAAATGGCTCTCCAATGATATACTTCACGATTAAGCACAAGAAATACTATTGATCACATATTGTTATTTGATTSTGATAAAAATATCTCTTTTTGTGTGCTAATTATTGTTTAATTCAGGTTAATTTAAAACAGTTGATAAGGATTCCAATAAAAGATATCCTATTTGGGCATATCCTATTTGGGCATATCCTATTTGGGCATATCCTATTTGGGCTTTCTGATGGTTGTGTCTCTTGAAAATATATAATTGAATGAAGTATTAGTCTAGAAAAATATTCAAGAAAAATTCAAGAGTAAAGTCAAATATTAAGGCATTTTAAACACAGAGATTTTAAGATCTTTAAGATCTTGTGTAATCATTTAGATATAAAAATGAATGAGTGTCCAACAGGTACTGGGCAACTTCATCTTTGAATTGATTCAGCACAAGCTGTCAACATGTTCATCAGCTGAAGGTGTCAAAAGAAGAAAAATCTCCTCTTGCTCAAGTCAAAGCAGAACAAACTACCAACATGAGGCACCTTTGAAGAGGCAAACAGAATCCTAGGGTATAGCAGAGCTGAAATGTGAATTCCRTTGCACAGGCAAACTCATCTTATATTCCATCTACAAATCCAGCCACACAAATTCAAGAAGGATCAATTCAGACTGATGCAGGTTGAGAAAAATCAAATGAAAATCCACTGAACAAACAGACCTGTATTACCAGGGGAAAGCTGAAAAGTTTGACTTAGGCTGTACAAAATAAAAGGATATTTAAAAAAAAAAAGGAAAAAAAAAAAAAGGATTGTTCTCAATTAATACATTGATACACTAACACAGAAGGAAGGAGAAGATCCTTCAAGGAAATGCTGGATTTCACACATGTTGGACTCAAAAAGACTAGACTCTCTTCCAGTCTTAGTACTCATGCTTCTGYCTCAGTCCTCAGGTCAGGAGAATTAAGCCATGACTGATGCTTTCCAAAAGCTACTTCTTGTGTCGGTCATAATGAAGGCAGAAATTGAATTAGTATCAAGGACTTCCTGATACATGTGGTCATCTGCCATTGTCAAAAGTTATATCCTATCTAAAATTGAGACAGCAGACTGTGCAGTACAGATCATACTCTTCCAGCAGTCTTCTTGGTTATTTTCAAAACAACAGCATTATAAATGGATATACTACAACACACTTTTAAGCACATTCTAACTTAATTGATCATTTAAGGCTTGATAGCTCGGTTTATTAATATTTCAAACGGTCTATTAGGGAGTTTAAAACTTTCTCTGAAGTTAGCCCTGTAAGATCTTCCTACTGTATTTTAMATCAACGGTAGAATGTTCAGGTCTGTTTTATTCAACTCAGTTTCTCAAAGAATTTATTCTTTGTCTTTATTTCTTATTCTTGTATCACTTTCCTACGGACAAATAAAAGCTTTGGCTACTTTTTCTTACCCTTTCTGCATACAAACACTCTGATGTTAACATCCACCCAATCTATTGTAACATCAGTGCTCTTACCAAAAAGAGCTCTAAAGTTCCATGCCAGTAAATAATATCAATAATACTCCTTATTAATAACATTTTCTGGCTAAAGTTCAAACAAAAAATTCTAGCTAATTATGATGATTAATTTGCTAATTTTCATTGAACAACAGCTGGCAACCGATATTCACATGAATGAAAGTCAACCTCAAAAGCCAGTGCCATTCTAAGCGATGTAGTCACACACCTGCTAACTTCCCATAGAAGTATGGAAATACATAACTCAAAACAAATAAAAAAGCATTTTAGTATGAAAAACCTTCCTACCAGAGCTGCCATGGCCCAGCCAGTCTTGTTATAGATGAATTCCAAGTTGTTTCTTCGCAGATATAACAAGCCACCAACAAGAGATACCAGAAGAGCCAGTGCAATCGTACCAGAATAGTTAGGAGGCCTGAATACTCTAATCTAGAAAAGGAAAATAAATGGAAAAGGAAAGTATACATATAGATTATCTCCTATTTAAACAACCAGGGAGCATTCAAAGTCCTGGTTTGCAAGGACTACTCAATAAAGTTATTAAGTAAGGAAAAGTAGCGCTCTCTTTAGTAAATACATAATATATTATAAAATAGCTTTAAGTGTTCTTTTTAAAGAGATAATTTATTACTAATCCAAAAATTTAGAAACAGAATATTATCTCTTCTTTACTGCCCACTCCCCAGAATTATATTTTCAACAGTTTTGCAGGTGGGTATGTCTGGATTTAAGAGCAGCTACCTTTTACATTCTGCCTGTTTTGCATATAATACTGAATGCATGCATTGATAATTAACAGCTAGTTATCCGAATACCACTGTTTTCATTTGGAATAAGACTATATACTATTTGACAAAGCAGGACTGGAATATATTCTGCRGGTTGCAGAAGTCAGCATGCCTACAATTGATATTTTGTTTGTTTTTAAGATCCTGGGCTTGAAGAAGAAAAAAAGGCATTAGGGAAAGATGGCACGTACTGTCAGCCCACCACAAACTACAAAGATATATTTGGCTCCAACTTTTAAAACTGTCAAAAGGCTTACATGAACATCTGTTCTGTCAGCTATCCATTTAGCTAGCTGCTCAGCTGCAAATCCGATTCTCTGCAGGTCAAAYGTGTCAGCTCTCTTGGGTTTGCCTTTCGGAGGAAAATGCATGAAAGTCGGAGCAGAGTTCATATTCAGCTATAAATATAGGAAAAAATAGCAAAATATATTGATACAGCTAGGCTTACAGATCTTATGTATCAGACATCAGAAATCTAATTAATATATTGGCCTTCCCAAAAATAAATTACTCTTTTCATATATCCTCAAACACAGTCCAATGACTCAAAAAAAAAAAAGTGTTCAGAATCTTCCTTCCTGTTTCTTTCTGGCAGATTCCTTAGGAAGCCTGGTTATCCCACTGGGGATTTCAGATGCAAACTTTTTTGAGCAAGAGTATCATCATACTCTTGAAAGTTCTTGCACACTCTTCAGCAGGATTAGTAAAACAAAGTCCCCATACTCTYCCAATTTAATAAAGTGCATTTGGTTCTAATTCCCAGAAGAAAAAAGTTTATACTCTTTGCCACTGGTTCCCTGCCTAACTCTCACCAGGCTGGTGGTATCCAGCCCAAGTTGTTCATCCAGACTTCGTGTGGTTTCAAGGCAGACACCATTCAAGAGCAATTATTCTCATTTTGAATCCACRAAGGCCGAGATAACCAGCTTAGGCTACATAACTGCTCTGGGGAACGATACGAATGCTAAGCCAGGGGCTGAAGTCACTGGAGCTACTCATGCTGCACACAGGTTGGAAGACTGAAACTCACAGGAATTGAGGTCTTTAATTAAATAAATAAAATATYCATAATATGATAAATGGTCAGCTATATTTCCTAGGGGAAAAATATTAGACATGATAAGCAAATACATTTTTATTTTTATTTGCCACTTCATATTGCAAGTTGATTTTTATATTAGAACTTGATCTGTGAAGTCTGATACAGGATACCATATTTGTGCTATAAAAAAATCCTCCAAATACAGTTCATTTCAGAACACTTGAAGACACCTTAAAAATTAAAAAAGGATATCCAGAAATATTTAAAGATGATGCAGCATGGTGTTCTTCCAGAGACAAATACAAAGCATACTTCTTTGTTACTTTTATATTTACCTGCATTCCTGCAAAGTGAGCTTTATTACATTATTTTTACTACATTATTATTTTATCAAGTATAGAGCTGAACTCATCAAAATTACCAGTTACTCAAATATTTCCCATCTAAGCAAAACACAGCCCTTTTCTCTAGTAAGTTGGATCTGGCAACAAACATATTCTTAGAAAGGCTAAGAGGTTGCAAAATATTTTAATTCAACTTTTTATAAGACACAGAAATCTCCTGACATTGTACAGAGCTCACATGCATTGACTCTGTCACCACTGGCTTTGTCATTTCTTCATAGTCAGAATAAAAGTAGAAAATTAAATTCAAATTACATTTCTTTGTTATGACATCAATATTGTATTACTGATGATTAAAATTTAAATCTCTTATTACTTTATATGCATATAAACAAAGTTTAAATAGCATTTACGAAAAATCCATCTTAAAATAGACATCAGACATTTATGTCCCTTATTTTTGACATTTTATTTCACAAAGACAGCCTAGAGAACTTATGCATTTAATGTACTTTAGTGTAATTTTTAAATACATACATCATCTGATGCAACTTGAATTTGTGCTTTTGTTAAGGAAGAATAAATTGGACAGGACTATTCTGTATTGACTCGTTTAATGATGAAAGCAGGTATTCAGTTTTACTGTAATCACGTATGAGGAAAGATAATTGTTTTCCAGTCCATCTGAACTAAAACTAATAGCAAAATATTAAAAATAAACACTTTTTAAATACAATATCTCCAAAGATGATTACTGGAAACAAACAAACAAATATTTATTATGTATTGTAAGTTAACTCCTACATATATTAAAATTTTGATCTATAAATAATAAACATTTTCTCCAAGTATATTTACATTATATTTGATTGGAGGTTAAAAAAATATCCAAAAAATTTCAACCCTTATTGTTGTTCTTAATCTGTGTTCTTCACAATCCAATCAATGGATAAATACCAGATAGGAAAAAAGCATTTTGGAATTCAGTATTATTTTTCAAGGGTTACATTTTATTTTTCTCAACTGTCCAATTTCACAGTAGACTTTACTCTCCAAAATTGTTTCCTCAACCTTTATAACTTACTCCACAAACAGAAAACAGGTTTCTTACGTTATTTAGCAAGCAAGCATGCAGTTCTGAAAACAAGGGGTCTGCATAAAACACTTAAACAAGTTTCACTGTATCCAATATTTACCTGTTGAAAAACATCTGCCCCTTCATCATAATCCACAATTGTGAAAAACAGCTTGTTTGAAAAAGCAGATGAATAGCGCCATGAGTTGGCCAGCACCTGGTACTCTTCATTAGCTTGCCTGTCAGAGAAGGGAGGCAAGCAGCATCAGCAGGGCATTTCCTCGCAACAAAGGTCCTRTGCTCCTCACTCGCTAGACTGATGCTCCCAAGTAAAAGAAGTTTCTGCTGATGACACAAATCCGATTCATTCCCACTTTCTCCAGAATTATAAATGTGTTAAAATCAACTTAACACCAAGGACATCCCAAGACACATAAACAAACAAACAAAAAGCCTTAAAGCAAGAGCAGAACAGGAATAGCCTGAGCAGCATCACCCAAATCTGATCCCAGTGCAGACCATGCAAAGAGATGCTTGCATGCCCTTGGGTAGAAGAGCCGGATCTACTCACTAAAGATAGATATGGATTGATTCTTAAATCAGGAGAAAAAAATAAATAAAATAAAAGAAATGTGACTACAGCATACTTACCAAAATACAAAAAAGCATGGAAGGAGGTTTGCCTACGCTTGGCCACAAACTACCATACACTGGAGAAATTATCTTAGCTAATGAAACAGTAGTTTGCAGGCAGTGTAAAACGGTGTAATTTCTATAAAACTTGTCTTACAAGTGATAAAAGGTAAATTTTGCACAATGTACAATACTAGAAAGATTTTTTCTATCATCATTAGGAAGTCACACTTATTACTCAAGCTTGTGAGAAAGCCTCCTCATTGCAGCACTGGCAGCACTACTTTGCTGTCGAAGCAGAAGAGAGGAGGATTTTGGGGTCCTTTGCGAGCTAAGTAGTTCTCCTAATACACATTCCTAGAACCAGACCGATTCTCCCACATGACATATCCAAATCAACAAATTATTCAGAAAAAGAGAATTGAAAGAATCCTTGCACTACTTCAGGCTTTATGTATCTTCCTTCTCTATTTCCATATCATAAAGGAAACATATCTGTTACAGAATGCAAACCAAGACCTCACCATATGGCAACTTACCTCTGCATGCAGAAGGATGCAAATAAGACAACCACGTTTTGTTCTCATTGTTTTCTCAAAACAATGTTTCTGTAAAATCAGCGTCATATGTATATATGATGGTTCAGAGCACTGTTTATTTGAAAACTGCATCCACAAAATTTGCTTTTATGGCAAGAGGAAAAGTGTGCGCTAGACGTGCATGGTATTTGGAAAGAACAAAGGAGGGGAGAAGAGGAAGGTAGGATCAGAGGTGGCAGAAGAGCCCATTTCCTCACAGCTGCTATCAGCCTCAGGCACAAGCCATATTATAATTCCAGCAAATCTGTACTGTATTAAAGAACATAATTGTATACAAGATTATCCATCATGAAAAAGATTTAGAATGAAATTTGATCATCTCTTTCAAAAAAAAAAAAAAAGGAAAAAAAGAAACACAGTGAAATTAAACTTTCACCCTTATTAGCTGATTGACCAGAGGGCATTAATTATCACACTTACCCAGGCTAGTGTGCAAAATTTTTAATTATAAAAAAATGCATGATTAACACATTGGCTTGATTAAGTCTAAAACTGAGTATTTTAAACAGACTAACACTCAGGGCCATCCTGAAGAGGGCAGTCAGACAACATCAAAGGGAGGCAGTAAAAGCTTAAGTAATATCGGCAGGGCACTGTTCTGTTAAACCTTCTATATTAAAGTTGGACCATCTTTATTATTTGAACAAGATAAGATCCCTTCATCCTGATGCTATCGTTCTTCTTAGTCTAGCTTTAACTTCTGCTGAAACAATATTTCTGGGAAATTCAGATACTGCAGTTCTGCTTCAGCTATTCAATAAAACATTCTTGTTCCTCTTGATCTCCATGCATTTTKCACCTTTAAATTGAACTATTTTGAATTAATGCAATGGACTCTTCCCTTTCAGAGAGCAAGATTTTGCAAAAAGTCCTCTTAAACTTTCTGCAACATATTTGAAGTTCTATTTCTTCCCCTCACTGAAGACAGCAAAGTATTCTGTAATATAACAYTAAAGTAATTTTTGTTAAAAAGATTCTGAAAAGACAAGCTATAAACAGCATAGCTGTTTGAATTGAATCACCACAAGTCATTCAAATTCTAAATGCAAATATTTGCATTTACATATYGAAATCTAACTCATCATTCAGGTGGTGAATAGAGAGCTGAAAAGCAGTACTTATGTGCCCTGCCTTTCTCGCTCTGCACACAACTGTTCTGATCCTGTTCTGAGTTGTTCTCATTTCTGCTCTACAAATGAGTACTTCTCATTTCTAGAAGTAAATAAGCTCTGTGTGCTAGTCAAAAATAAATTATTATTAAAATATTTTAGAAACAAAAAAGTACTGAATTTGAAACTAAAGCAAAATAAAGACCTTTTCCTGACCATCATACAGAGATCCTTTACCTATGGTGTTTCTCTAGTTTTCCAGCGTAACTGGACCAGCATTTTCTGTTGCAAAGAGCCATTCACAGATAAAAACCAACAGCACATGAAAAAGAAATATTGTTTCCAACAGTGATTTTGGTCAAGAACTGAAAACCAAATGGTAAAGGAAGAAGACAGCTTATAAAGAAATGATAAGACAATTCAGTAATGAAAATTTAACACGGACTTTTTCACCTCAATCCGGTCCAGTTTCATTACTTCCTATTACTGTATATACAATGCAAATAAATATATATACAAGGCATGATTGTTGCTTTTTACCAAGTCCCCCAGTTCATTCCCCCCTCTCTCCAAGATTTACATGTATGAACAACTTTACAAACTGCAAGGAGTCTCATTTACCATACTGGAACTGCTCAGAATACATAATTTTGTGAAGAATTGGAGACTACGTGGAGCACAGGTAGAAGTGGATATAACAAGTAACTGAGGGGCTGGTAGGAGCAAGACTAAAACGAGAGACAGGGAATACAAAGATACAGGATTACTACATATACAACCAAAGAACATCACACAGGCATTTTATTAGCAGCACAGTTCATTTTCTGCATTCACTACGTAATTTCCCATGAACACACTACTAATGCAATCAGCTGCGTYAATAACATTTTGAAGTGGTGGTTACTCCTCGCCACATGAACCAGTATTAAAAAGCATCAGCATTTGGTTCAAAAAACCTCACATCCAATTAGCATCATATTAAGGAAAAAAGAAATCGAGTACCAGAAAGAGTAAAACAGCCTGTGAAATTCTTAGCCAAAGCAAGCAGTAAACGCTCTTTATTTTTTGGCACAAAACAGGCTTTACAAAACACATATAAATGTACAATCAGCAAAGTGTGCGCTACCAGGTGACCTACTAGGTACCTGCCATCTGTTTAAAGTAAACTATCATCAGTGCTATAATTTTCCTCAACAATTAATTTGCCATTTTTATCTGGAACGGTTTTGCAAAATGAAGAGTGGAGGAGGTTAAAAAGCATATTTTATTTTCCTCTTTGATATCAGATTCAAAGGGTTTGCCTGTTTTATTCTCAGCTGCGTTTTTGGCTTGGGGGTTGGTCTGTTTCATTTCACTCAAAAAACYACTACTTTACTCAGTTTTCTACAGACTTAGAGTGCTGCAGCTAAAAGCATTAATGTCTCTATCCATAAAATTCACCACACACTATGAAATGAAGGTTTCTTTCTCCTAGGTTTCAACTGATCAAAAACTACACCAATTTTACAATCTACATCTCTGTAATAAGACGGCAAGTTTCTTTTCTACCAAATGAAAAGTTTCATCCTGAGTGTGTCTCGTTGATAGGAAAGGCTCTAATGAAACCCTGTGCAACCTKTTCTCTCACATATTTTCTCACTACTTTTCTGCACATTGCAAGTCAACAGCAGAAAGCAGCAGAACCCTTCAAGAAGTATACACTAAATTAAGCTTAAAATTTGACAATATACCAACTGTATGTTGAATCATAACTTACCTTTTGTACAACCTTGAAACAAAATACAGATGCAATAGGAATAAGCAGTTCACTTGGAGCTTATTCTCCAGTAGGGTTTTTGCAATGGCTACTAGCTTTTTCCAGGAGATGCCACCTACCATTTCTGACAGAATTCAGCAATATTGCTCAAATGGAACACTACAAGTCATTAGAAAGCATATGCCACCTGCAGAATTTGATTTACCTTCCTCAGGCCATATATATATGTATGTGTGTGTGTGTGTGTGTATATATGTGTGTGTGTGTGTAYATATATACTCACACAGATATACACACACATATATACTTACATACATACATATTTATATATCTACATATACACATGTGTATGTGCATACACATGCATATGCACACACATCTGTGCAGAAGTATGTATTTAAATACACACATATGCACAACTTCAGTTAATAGGAGTGTTCAGTGCTGCTTTAAAAGCTGTTTAAATTTGTTTTTAAATTAAAAAAAGAAAAAAAAAACAAATTATCTGTTACATTTCTCTAAATTACTTTCCCTCTACAAATAGAAATGTCCAAGCAATGACTTTAAAACATAAGTGGGACAAAACCATAAAACGTTATGAAAATATCCAAGTCATCTCCAATATACATACGTATCTAAAGCAGAGATGGTTATTGCTGCCAGTGAGTCGAGAGAAACCATGGCTCAGAAAGTAAAGCAAGACCTCAGATAATTTGCTTAGAAAGTGATTAGATGGTATAGGGCAACAAAGAAAATGCACARGCAAATGCTAGTAAGAAGCAGGGCGCAGTGAGCACAGTGATGGGCTGCACAGGGACGCAGGCCAGTGCAGCAGCAAATCAAAGCACTGCTTTGGAAGGGGGAAAAAGGTGGCTGAAGTCTGTTGGGTAAAATAGTATCAACCCTTTCAGGAAAAAATGGTAATATTAAAAGCAGGAAACCAGCTCGCAGGACACAGGAAGACAAAAAGCAGAAASGTTAGACTTGGAAAAGAATTTTCACCTAGAGAAACATTCAAGTCAGACTAGACTTAATGGTTCCTGCACATAATCCACATAATACAGAATGAGAAATAACTTCTATATCATTCTGAAGATGCTATTATCAGAGTGACCTCTTCTGTTCTCTCTTTTACATTCCTAGGTGATTTTTAAGTAATATGTCTGAACAGCATGGCTACCTGACAGAGACTGCCCAGCTGAGCGAATGCACAAGCACAAACCTAAAGGGGAAGCTGCAGACCGACTGCTCAAAGGYAGGTTATCTCTGTTCAGCCCAAACCGTGAACTCCACATTGATTCACAGAATTCASAGATTCACAGAATATTTAAGGTTGGAAGGGACCTCTACAGATCATCTAGTCCAACCTTCCTGCTCAAGCAGGCACACCTAGAGCATGTGGCACAGGGTGGCATCCAGGTGGGTTTTGAAGACCTCCAGAGTAGGAGACTCCACAACCTCCCTGGGCAGCCTGTTCCACTGCTCTGTCACCCTMACAGTAAAGAAGTTSCTCCTCACCTGGAGACGGAACTTCTTGTGCTTCAGCTTGTGGCCATTACCCCTCGTCCTATCGCTGGCCACCAGTGAGAACAGCTTGTCCCCTTCCTCCCTGCATTCTCCCTTCCTGAACTTATACATATTAATCATATCCCCTCTSAGCCGTCTCTTCTCCAGAGAAAAGAGGCCCAGCTCACTCAGCCTCTCTTCATACGAGAGATGTTCCATTCCCTTAATCATCCTGGTTGCCCTTCTCTGGACCCTCTCCAGAAGCTCCACGTCCCTCCTATACTGGGGTGCCCAGAACTGCACACAGTACTCCAGGTGCGGCCTCACCAGAGCTGAGTAGAGGGGCAGAATCACCTCCCTTGACCTGCTGGCAACGCTCCTCCTGATGCAGGCCAGGATCCCATTGGCCTTCTTGGCCATGAGGGCACACTGCTCACTCATGGTTAACTTAGTGTCAACCAGGACTCCCAGGTCCCTCTCCGTGGAGGTGCTTTCCAGCAGGTTGACCCCTAATCTGTACTGGTGCCTGGGGTTATTCCTCCCCAGGTGCAGGACCCTGCACTTGTCCTTATTGAACCTCATGAGGTTCCTCTCTGCCCAACTCTCCAGCCTGTCCAGGTCCCTCTGGATGGCAGCACAGCCCTCCGGRGTGTCGGCCACTCCACCCAGCTTGGTGTCATCTGCAAAYTTGCTCAGGGTGCRTTCCGTGCCCTCATCCAGGTCATTGATRAACAAGTTGAACAGCACTGGGCCCAGCACTGACCCCTGGGGGACACCACTGGCCACAGGCCTCCAGCTGGACTCGGCCCCATTTATCACCACCCTCTGAGCTCTGCCATCCAGCCAGCCCTCGATCCACCRCACCGTGCACTCATCTAGTCCACTGTCCTGGAGCTTCCATATGAGGATGTTATGGGAGACAGTGTCAAAAGCCTTGCTGAAGTCAAGGTAGACAACATCCACGGCTCTCCCCTCGTCCAGCCAGCCTGTCATCCCATCATAGAAGGCTATGAGGTTCGTCAGACATGGCTTCCCCTTGGTGAATCCATGCTGACTGCTCCTCAGCAGCTTCTTCTCCTCCATATGCCCGGAGATTCTCTCTAGGATGAACCGCTCCATCACCTTTCCAGGGACAGAGGTGAGGCTGACTGGCCTGTAATTGCCCGGCTCCTCCCTCTTGCCCTTTTTGAAGACTGGAGTGACGTTGGCTCTCTTCCAGTCCTCGGGCACCTCCCCTGCTCTCCAGGACAATTCATTGTCATATTGTGATCAACACACACTTAACRAATGGAAACGTGAAGGTGCAATAGTGAGTTACTTAAGGGAAGTTACTGGTTGTGGGATGTTGCTGATCTTCAGGATGTACTTCAATAAATTACTCCATTTCTGTTATAGGAATACTTGAGTTCATCAGAATCAGAAAATTTAAACTTACTTGTCCAAAGTTCTAGACCAATATATGCAAATTCTACTTTAGGATGAAGTCCATAATTTCTTTGGGGGGGGGTTAAAAAAAAAAAAAAAAAAAGAAAAACAAGCACACTCTAGAGGCCTTACTAGAGTCAGCAGTACCTAATACACAAAATCCTTCTTCACTCCTAACAGACAATATCCAAATTAGATCAATTCTCAGCAGTGCACGGACACAAGAGTCACCCCTTCGTCTGGCAGGGGACTTGATCCTACACTGATTCTGTACTCAGTTTCAACAAGGGTCAGGGTGCTAACTTTCTGGATCCAAGAAACTAATCCCTGTCAATGAAGGCATAACCATTCCAATCACTTACAAGACAAGTCACATGGATTTGTAAAAGCAGGGGCTCATTTTGACAATAAATATTTGACAATATAGCCAAACGCTGAATCAGGTACAAAGGAAAATAAAGGGTTCACAGGACGCACATGATCACTACCAGCCTCAAACGCAGACCTACAGTGGCTTCTTTAACAACCACTGGCTTTCAATGCTCCACTTGAGAAGAACACATATCCATTACTCTCATCCACAATGAAATGCCAACTGTAACTACTAAAAAGAAAAGACACAAAGAGCTCTTTAGTCAAAGGCAGAGGGGCATGGAAGCAGACAGGAGTACTTCCTAGATGAAAAATTGTCCCAACACTTAGAGCAACGTTTCAGGCCTAGATGCTACTGCATATTTAAAACAGGGCACTGATTTTTTTGTTCTGAAAATGTTTAATGAGTAACAGTTAACTTAAATCTTGGTCACAAGTCTCCTCACAGCACATTACAGATTACGTTAAAAACCTGTTTTTGCTTTAGGCAAAATGGTTACTGAACAGCTAGTGACAAAGCAGTGCATGCATTTTTCATGCCTATATATTCATTCAGTGCTGCTGTCAATTAATTAGTTGTTGATTTGAAGATGTCAAAGGTCCTGAYGATGGTTTTATGTGCAATACAATCAACCTCATTAAATTCCTTTTATTTCACATGGCAAGCATGGAGCTCAACAAACCTAATAAAAGTAGTATGTTGTTTTTTCCTTCCTTCTCTGATTCAAGATTTACTGTTGCTATATACATAAATGCTTTAAGTGGCACATTACAGGATGAAGTTTGTAATTTCTTTTTCAGTACAGTAAGCAGCATAGAGTTGTAAGCAAAATCAACTCCCTTAATAACAGTAAATATTGTTGTTTTCATATGCTGTACAAAGASCTGTATATAATACAAGGAAGACATTTGATAAAACCACTATAATGATGAACAGATTGACCTCTTAATAATCTGAACATAGCACATCTATTGTAGTTTTAACTACTGATTATGAAAATAAGGAATCATTTAAAACAGTATTCCATTTCATCTTCTAAAGGTGAACTCTAGCAACAYAAAGAAGAAAGAGCAGCAACTAAGCATCGGAAGGGTATAGCAAAAATCCCCTTGACTTTGAAGCTTGGAAAGTTTCTATACCTACTCTTTGCACTTCACAGTTCCGATGTGGAAGATGAACTGAGGAAATGCAACTCCCCCCTCAACATTAATGAACTGACTCCCATAGCAAAAAAACAAAAAATTACTAAAAAGAAAACTCTAAGGCTACAGGTTTACTAATGATAGTACACAGAAAAGATTCTATTGTGAATATCTCATTCCATAAGAACTCTGTAACATTCCTAAAAAGCAGCTAGCTATTACATTTACCGACTTCCCCTCCTGTTTGAAGCACACCAGTTTAAAACCAAGGGAACAATATTGCTTAATACAGAGCTTACCTAATTCACAACCCTACAGAGCAATTTGCTGGCTTTTAAATATGGGTTATAACACTCTGCAAAATAATCCCACATATTACTAAATGCAATAATTTCTAATGCATATTTTGGCTGGAGAGGTTTTATTAGCTCACTTTCTGCTTTAGCACAATAATTAAGTACATGACTACCTTTCAGTCCCTTGGCCCTATTCCCATGTCTATAGTTAGCTCAATGAATGAGGAAAATCCAGTGAAAAATCTTGGACTGAAAAGAATACTGGTTGCAGTCTACCATGTATTCTTGCAGGAGCCAGCAGCACACAGCACAGTACAGTGGCAGGCAGTATTCCATAATGATTCCATAACGGCCTCATGTGCTTCATTTAAGAGCTGCTTAGAACTGTGAAACCATGGGGTAACTCACATCTGAATCAGCACTTTGGATATCACTTAACCAGAGGAATTAGAAAACTGTCATATTACTCAATGGTAGTTAATCACTTCCAGCTCAAAGCATCTATGGAAAGTACAAGGCTAATTGATAACAGAATAAATCCTGTGTTTAAGGAGAAGGTCTTCATCAGTGGTATACATTGTAATCAATTGCAACAAAAAATAAAAACTGAAGCTAACCTGACACCTAAAGCTTACCATACAGATCAAAGGCAAGTTGAAGAGGATGCTATTACAAGCAGTGAGGCTTTAAAGCCTCAATACTTGCCCTATGCAAAGCCCAAATAATTCTATTATTTGCAATGCACACTGCTTAAAATGTTCGCTTGAAAAATGTGGTGGGGAAGACGAAAACCACCAGTGAGGCATAAATTACCTGCAAACAGAGCACTGCCGCTGCGGCTGGAGAGCAGTGAACATCACTATGACGGAGTAGTTCCGAGGTGGAGCCTTCACAAATCTTCGGAATTTGTCTCCGTTCATGCGGACGACTGAGCGCCTCGAGCTCCACTCCATCAGCTGTTCCACCTTCTCGGCCAAAAGGTTCTGCAAGCAAGCACAAGGATGAGGAAGGCTTAAGCTTCAACTTTGAGATCCTGTGGCTATGTTCTGCCTTTGCTTTCCCCCTGCTCCAATTCACTTACATGGAGTCTAGGGGGCACATCTATGAAGTTTATAGCACAGCAATCTTAGATGTGTTACATCCAGAACAAGCAGTTTTTAAGGCTCTTAAAATAACTCAATCTGCTCTTAAAGAGAATAGAGATTTCAAAATAAATGAGACATACTGGTTGCTACTTCAGGCAAAAGAGTACAGTGAAGTTCATTGTCTAAATGAAAAATGCCATTAAAAATCAGAAACTTTAGAAAATGCAGCATTACATTCATTCCACATTGTAAAAATCACAGCAGGATACTGTCAGTCATGCATATGTTAAGCTGAAACACAGCTACAAAGAGATAAATAGTCATTATGTGCAGAATTTTCCTCTGAACATGCATCTTATTTGAGTGGTGTTTATGTTAATGTTCTTTTTGTTTCTTGCTATAGAGGAAACGATCACACTTTCTTACACACTCACCCAGCAGCTCCCCATCGTGAGATGGTATTTTTAATTTCTTATAAGGCTGAGATCAACAAATCATTTTGGCTGAGCTATGAGCATTAAGAAAAAAACATTTTCCCTGTGTGTAGTTTTTCTTTTAATGAAGGCATTCAATCACGTGAATGATTTAATAGCAGGTTATGAGTTTTATTAAAAGATGGCCCTTGCAGCAAATACATTCATTTAACCTTTCCTATGAAGGTCTATTTAGATTATTATTTTTCAAATAAATCTGGATTCCTATATGCTCAGTAGAGACTTGCTGGAGTTTCCCAAGTTGCCTACTTTCAGTAGTTGCCTTAATCATGCTCCAAGCCTGCTCTAAAGGCTACATTTACAGCAYGGCAGGATCAAAGCAACCATCCACCTTAGTGCTCAGTTCCCTGCTAAAGGGCACCGTGGAAGCCGCCTATAATAAGTAATAGGAAGGAGAAAAAGTAGTTGAGAAAACTGGAATAATATGACTCACACAGCAACTTAGTGCTRAGGGAGGGCAGGAAGAACACAAAGAAAGATACAGAGTCAGAAAGCAGAGAAGRGGCAGCAAACAAAAGAGAAACTAAGGCAAAAAAACATCTAGAAAGTGTGATAAAATAAGCACAAGTTGGCAAAAGGTTAGAAAAAAMCGTCAGGATCCAGTGTGGAAGAAAAGATCAGCTCAAGAAAAAAAAACATACTGAAACGGGGACCCTCTGGGAAAAGGCATGAATGACAGGCAGGACAAGGGTAAAATTCGAATGCTGCAGAAGAACAATTGCTTGGGCAGGGACATGAGGCATCTTTTCTAGGATTTTTCAAAATACACAAATATAAAAACACCTTCATCTAAAAACAACTCGGTAAATCAGCGAGGCAACATAAGAAGATACATATACTGGGAGGAGAAGCAAACTTCACAGATAAGTGAAAAATCTATTTGTAACAGACTTTTTCAGTAGGGAATTCACACCACAAAACCCAAAACTGAAAATCACCACCAAGAGTAAATGGTCCTCGCAAGGAGGAGCTGTATGATGAATTTCAGGATTACCTGAGCTGACAATTCAAACTTTGATACTAGTAGAAGCGTTGACCATCATAAATTTTGAGCAGTTTTGAGATCACCTTTTTTTTTTTAAATCTTAATTATTAGCTGATACTGACAAACATTATATGAATGACAGATTACAATTTTGCTGATCATGAGAATACCAATGAATCAATACTATGATTGCTTTATTAAGTTCTTTGATTAAGAAAAATAATCATTAAAGATATCAGAGAAAAGATAAAGCCTACTTATTTCCAAGATCTCTTAGGACTAGCAGTGTCTCTGGATTAAATCTTAGTGTTCATTTTAAAAGCGCACTCATTTTAAATGAGTAGTGTTCAATAAAACGTAAACTGCTGAGAAGGTGGAAAACACTAGAAAAAGMTTCAGTAACTGAAGCAAAAAGATAGACTGAAAAAAAAATGTAATGAAAATACATAGCAACTTTTAAATTAACACAGAAAAATACATTATGTTTAGGTACAGAAAACCCTACACTTTCYAGAACAGGCCTTTATTCAGCGCAAAGAAACAGCACTCCAGAAAGCCTCAGTAAGTGATTTAAAGCAAAAGCATGATGACCTTGACCGAAAAACAGGAAAKAAATAACAGTGTTTTATTACTGCTACATGATCCGTTTCTACTAAATAATCAACAGGACAGGAAGCCAAGTCCCATGCAAACCTTCCTATGGATGCTTGTGCCACCAATAAATATTCATCCTGTTCCTTGGGTTTGTTTTTTTTTTTTTTTTTCCTCCAATTCATCCATTTATGACACCACCTTCAGTTGGCTCGTGTGATACAGTGAAGATGACCCAAATGTTGTCAACCACTCAGGACTTCTGTCCTTTCTAAGGCTCTAGGCAACTAACTGGTACCAAATTTAAAATAAAGCAGGTAATTAAGCTCGTACTTCAGGAGTACAAAGTCATCAATTTTTTTAATATTAGCGGCAGTAGATTCAGAAGCCATGTAGCTCTTTGAAATATAAAATCATCATCCAACAGCTAGTGAATAATCACTCAAACTACGACATGTTTCTGAAAAGCAAAACCTAGAGATCTGACTGCATCCAGGTATCCTAACACTCTCYGATTTACTTCTATTTCAGAAAGTCTCTTTTTACAGAATAACTGATACATGAGACCAATGGCTCAAGAACTCACAAGGAAATCTAAAGAAMTCTCCTGTATTTTGAGGCTTGCTGGCTTAGAACAACTTCACAGACAGAGGCAGGTCTGCTACTGTTTTGTCATTTACAAGACATTTGCACAACGCATGCTGCTGCACAAGCTACCACCTTTTTCACACCTCATTTAATAATAAAATTCATGAAATAAATCTCCTGTTAAATGAGATTCCATTTTAGCTCTGCATTTCACTTTTTCAAGTTCAGCCCTGTCCTCATGAAATGAGACACATTTCAAGGTTACAACTGTCATCTTCGACTTCAAACAGGCACCTCCTTTTCAGTCATTACACTTAGAAAATTGACCAATTTATTTAAAAGGAAAAAAGTGTGTATTTTGATCACACACCGAAACTAGCAGAGCTGAAACTAGCAGAGGTCCAAAATGGACCTTTAGATATTTTTATAACAAAGAAAATAAGCAATAAAAAGTTTGCAGCATAGGAGCTTAACTTAAACAAAGTCTGTTGAATAAATGTACAAGTATGGGCTCTATCTCCAAAGTTTTCTCCTTTTTATAAAATGAGTGTGTTAAGAGGGAAATAGCAAAAAGATAAACATTGACAGAGAGCATTCAGAAACAAGAGGCACAAGTCCTGTTGCCTTAATGGAAAGAAATGCTATTTTGAGCTATTTCTGAAGTATTTCTCAGAAAGCCCTGTTAGAAAAGCGCATCCCAAATATTCTTGCCATGTACTCTGTTTAGAAGGAAGATGACTTGAACTTCAGCCTTTAACATTTTCTTCCACTAGCCTGTGTCTTAAGTTTACACTTCATTACCAGCTATACAAACTATATATAAGCTGTACCAAAATGGCTCAWCATTAGCCATCTCCCCCTCTACTCAGCCCTGGTGAGGCCACATCTGGAGCACTGCGTCCAGTTCTGGGCTCCCCAGTACAAGAGGGATGTGGAGCTGCTGGAGAGAGTCCAGCGCAGGGCTACCAGGATGATCAGRGGCCTGGAACATCTRCCMTRTGARCAAAGGCTGAGRGAGCTGGGYCTGTTCAGCCTGGAGAAGAGGAGGCTGAGGGGGGACCTGATCAGCGTGTATAAATACCTCAAGGGAGGCAGTGAGGAGGAGGRGGGCGGCCTCTTTTCAGTGGTGGGCAGGGATAGGACTAGAGGAAATGGCTTCAAACTGAAGCATCGGAAGTTCCACAGGAACTTAAGGAAGCATTTCTTCACTGTGAGGGTGACAAAGCACTGGAACAGGCTGCCCAGAGAGGTTGTGGAGTCTCCTTCTTTGGAGATCTTTAAAAYCCGCTTGGATGCAGCCCTGTGCCACGTGCTCTAGGTGACCCTGCGTGAGCAGGGGGGTTGGACTAGATGACCTCTGAGGTCCCTTCCGACCTTCGGCATTCTATGATTCTATGATTAGGATTCTAGASTTCTACAAAAATGTCATTGAATTGCCTCTTTTCATCCATTTGGCAAACTTTCCTCTCAAAGAGAATCTGGAAATAGGAGGAGATGGCTAATTTTGACCAAATGGGTAAGAAACATGTGAGGACAGAAAGACCCAAACGTTTATAATTCGTCTCTAGAAAAARAGATAGAGGGAGAGGCATTTTCTCAAATTTGTCCAACTCTGTCGGTCTCTTGCAGCTTTCCACAGTCTGGAGGAAAGACCTTGCATTCGTTTAAACGTGCTTGTTTAGTTAGAGAATTCCTCTGCCCACTTGCCAGCTTCATGCTGCTAACCCAAAGCGACTCTTCTAACAGATACACTGACGACAAAAAAAAAAAAAAGCACAGACATAAACCCGATGCAGATAAATTCTTCTTATAAGAAAGTTGCAGTTGGGTAGTGTGAATGAAGGAACTATCAAAGAACTATCAAAGGGCTAAGGGCTAGCAGTCTACTGATGAAAGCAAACACGACATGCAAATCAATGAGTGGGAACAGAAGCCACACATCATTTATTTATTTTCATTTTCTGATGCCTCTAACAATAAATGATACATAGGATCTATGTCTGAAAACAGTACAAATGTTCACATCTTAATTGCCATTGCTACAGTGTGTCATAACAAAGGAAAACAGAGAGTGTAGTAACAGTTTCTTCAAAACTAGAAAAATGAGAAAAACAAAATTCAGGACATTTTTGCTATCGTGTAATGAGAACCRATCTTTCTTCAGGACAGGGATTTCCCCCAAAGCGAACACCTCTGAAATCCACTTTTGTTGCTGGCGAAGGGGTGGAATCACTCTGTTC